GCACTGGCTTGATTTGAGGGAACCGTAGCGGGAAATACTGCAATTTCCGTCGAACATTAATTCATCACCTGTTTTTGTGAGTGTTCCACTGCGATTCGAACTGTTTTTGCAGGTTCCATCGGGGTCTCCTCAAGTATGGATGCCTTCCCTCCAACAAATATGACAGCAGACAACCACAGACAACCCCTTGTTTGTAGAGGCAAAATGGTCTTTCCAAGGGTCATGCCATCCAAGCAACCTTGATTGGAGAGAGGGTAGATTTGTGTTCATCCCGCCGTCGAGCAAACCACCGGAACGGGTCGCCCGAGGCATGCAAGAGGTGAACTTGCCCAGCAGCCTTCGGAGTCTGACCTTTGGCAAACGCTTCGACCAAAGCCTTGATGACGTCACTTCGACCAAACATTCCATGTCACAGGAGTCACACACAGGGACTCATGCACACAGACTGTGACTATAGAGTGCGCTCGTACACACTCATACACACCCTAGAAGTCCAAAGACTATATTTTGACGGACTTAAGTAAGGCAAATGCCTGAAGTCGGGTCACCTAGTCAGACCATTCTGTTCAAAGTCTTCGACTCCCAGGGTGCACATATAACATGGTTTCTTGGTTACCCGAAAAGCCTTCAGAAACGGTATCCCTTGACGGAATCCCGCACGGAATCGCACGGAATCTACGATCTTGGACCCTTTCTTTTCTGGATTAGTAAGTGCCCCCGTCCAAATGAAACACAGCGAGACATCCAGAGCCACCCAGACAGATTGTCCGTGCATGGCGGCCAAACCATTCCAACGGATTCATTAGAGACATTCTCGTCACCAGAGTGGTGTTTCTATTTCCACAGAAAATGTACTGGAGAGAGAGGTGTCAGAGTGACACCAGCATGACACCCGAGGTGGCTTTGCCTTCCAATCTCCAGAATCTTACATTTGGTCCTTCATTCAACCAGAGTCTCAAAGCTGTGAACTTCCCCTGCAACCTGCAGAGTTTGACCATCGATGGTGTCTTCAATCGGAGCTTGGAGTCTGTGAATTGGCCCGAACAGTTGCAGACCTTGACCTTTGGATTGCAATTCAACCAGAGCTTAGATGGTGTGACGCTACCCGAAGGTTTGCAGACTTTGATCTTCGGCTACTCCTTTAACCAGAATTTGGACACTCTGACGCTTCCTGAGAGCCTGCAGAATCTGACTTTTGGCTTCCTGGAAGGAGAAAGCAGATGTGTTTATGTTTAAATTTGGATCTAGATCATACGATATACCGTATATATTCTGACATATGTGTTTCTGACAAATGTGTTTTCCAGATCTAGATGTGTTTCATGAGCATATGTCCAGATAGTACGATCCATGCTTGTGAACATGTGCTTGCAACGCCAAAAGAGGTCCCCTGAAACCACAAAAAGTCCACGAAACACCTCACCGGTTGGAAAATGAAAGGCTCAGTTCCTCCTCCATGATTGTTGTTTTTGTGATCTGTGGAATCCCGTGGTAGGGAATCCAGTGCTATGGAAAATTACTACATATTTTGTTAACAATATATTTACAGGTAATGGACAGTTAATCTTATGTACGCAGTGATAGGCTTGAACACTCCAAAAGAACGGACCACGGCGCAGCTTTTCACGTCCGTGAAAAAGTTTGTGCTATTTTGTGCTTTTGTCACGAACGCTTCGTTTGTTTGCCTGAGGCTTTCATTTCAACCAGAGTTTAGATCGAGTGCATTTGCCCTGCGGCTTGCAGAGCTTGACCTTTGGTTTCCATTTCGACCGGAGCTTGGACACCTGGCAGAGTTTCAGAGGAATAGATGGCATGATGGCACCCCAAGAGGATTTTAGACGGATGGACAATGGTTATGACGGAGGTCCAATCCGTTAATGGGCGGCATAGACTCCACCAAGAATTCATGGGTCTTCATGGGTCTTTCAGGGTCCAAGAATTCATGGGTATTCGATGGTATTCGGTATTCATGGGTCTTCATAGACTCCACCATGTTTCAAGCACTCCGTGGATCTCTGAGAAACATAGAGTGTGTCGTGTGTTTCAGGCCCTTCCGAAAAGGAGCTTTCGAAGAGAATATATTGTCCTTCCGTGTTCTTCCCATTTGGTTGCTGTAGATATTTTGGATATGGTTTGGATATCTTCTGTGAGAGAGCATGGAAAACATGTCATTGCGCATCTTTGAACCTGACTTATATAAGAGTCCAAATGATGCATCATGTTAATATCATATGATACTGTAGACTCAGTTGTAGACTCTTGAATATATATATATATAGCACCCCCCATGTGAAGAGGCTTTGCAAGCCAAAATGTGTTCTGGACACTGGATATCTCCAATGTGCTCAGCAGGTAGGGTAGTTCAGAAGTTCTGGATTAGCATTCATCTCTGAACCCTGTAGAGAGACAAATTTTCGATCAAGAACTTGGTTTCTAAAAGACACCTAAAGAGACTTAGAACTAGACACCTGACTTTATTTTTGTTTTTTAAAACCCGGCCTCAGGAGCGGGTCAAGCTGCCCAGCAGTCTTCAGAAGCTCACCGTGCCTGGTCGTCAGTCGAAATTGGATGGAGTGGCCTTGCCCAGTTGTTTGAGAAGATTGGAATGGAAACACCTCATCATTAGCACGCTTTGAGTGAAAACGCACTGGACCCAGACCCGGCAGAACAAAAAGGGCGCACATGAGCTGAGCTGAGACATAGAATTGGGACGGACCCACAGATCTAGGTCTTGGTGGTCGATTTCTCCTTTTTTTTCACAATGTATGTTTATTTGATATGATGTATGATATATGTGTGTATGTAGAGAGAGTGAGAGAGAGAAAGACACGTGCTTTGACTTGGAGATGGATATGCAAAACTTTCCCGAAAGCCAACGTGGACCCTGAGAATGGCGCCCTGAAAAGACTGGAAGTTCCCATTTTACAAACCAGTGGTTTTCAGGGTTCATGTGAGTCTTCACCGGGGTCAACCTGCTGCTTCTTGCAAAAACAAACACGTCCGTTGTCTTGACTGCTCATTTGCCCCCTTACAGAAATTTTGAATATGGAAGATCACCTGGCACAAGAAGTTTTCGCCTGCTTCCAGGGGCTTTGTTCTTTCTTTGATGGGGTGTCCACCATGCTAGAGATTGCCAACTCCCCACCAGACTGCATGCCAGCCAGTCGCATGTTGACCTCACTTCTTCACACACTTCCAAGTTGGACATGTCCATCTTTGTTCACCGCAGCGAATTGATGGCTACTAATTGCAGGTGGCCAGACCAGTGGCACCTGCATGCGACAGGATGCGGCACCCATGCTTGGGCCTTTGTTTGTTGGCCTTTCCCGTGGCCTACATGCCGGCGTGGTGGCGCAATGGATGGCCCAGAGGGAGAGTTGACAGCCGGGCGGAAGCGGAGTTGTTGTCGCAGCTGGCAGCTTTGCTGATGCCTGGCACAGCGATTGGAGAGCTTTTTCGAAGCTTCCCGGCAACCCAGGGGTGGAAGGGGCATTATTTGGAGCCTGACTTGACAGCTCATGGGGTTCTGAAAAAGAAGACTGCGGCGCTCTTTGTGGAATATGATGGTTTTTGGAGGCATGGGGAAACGGAGGGCATGGCAATGGATCGAAAGAAGAATGCAGCATTGCTAGACTACGCTCCAGCAGGATCTTTTGTCATACGACTCACTCATAGCGTCCGCAAACCGGTTGCGCAAGCACACACTCTTTGGGTCAGAGTGCCTCGCTGGCGAGAAGGGGAAGAGAGATCACTTGTGAAGACCTTGCACAGCATCCTGGAACAGATGGTAGCTGGAATGCAAGATGCTTGGCGGCCGAATGCTTGTAAGAGAATGAAGCAGAGTCTATTGAGGATGGCAATCGATAAATGGACTTTGGCAGAGGATGGCCAGCAATTTGCCATGAAAGCTGCAACTTTGGCAGGAAGGAACTCAAGCAAAGAGGTTTGTGACTACCTGGCCGCTGAAGGGTTCAGCCCACATGACATTGCAACGATGAAGAGGATTTTTTGAGTCGCGCAGCCAAGCCATTGAAGGTAACCTCAAACCAAAACTGCGATGGCTTTTGGGGCTTGGGCTTAGCAAGATGCAAGTTGCAAAGGCAGTGGCAGGATTTCCACGAGTCCTTGGGTTGAGCATCGAGGAGAACTTGAAGCCCACAGTGGAGT